TTAAGTATAAAAATAAATTGATTTATTTGGGCCAACTGTATGGTCTTAAACACCCAAAAGGAAAGAATAACCAAATAGTAAAGTCATCAGTATATTTCTTTAAGCGTTCAAGGGATTACATATCCCAGACATTAGGCTTAAGTCTGTATAAAAAGTTATTCAAGCCAGGCATGGTGGCGCACGCCTTTAATCCCAGCATTCGGGAGGCAGAGGCAGGCAGATCTCTGTGAGTTCAAGGCCAGCTTGTTCTATATAGTGAGTTCCAGGACAGCTGGGGCTACAGAGAGACCCTGTCTCAAAAAGACCAAAAAAAGAAAAAGAAAAAAAATTATTTAGACAATTATTTCTCATTGATGTAAGACTTCAAATCTTCGTCTCCAATACTGCAGTGCCCACCTATAGCTAAGGGAGACAACCAGCTATTATTCTAAAATGATGGATAAATTTGCTTTCTCCCCCTATCTAGAAGCCTTTGAGAGGGTACTGACACTGATTCTAACCACTCCAACAGCTATCAAAATACCTGAAAGCAAATCCTGAATCCATCACTCTAGAGTCCAGCCTTGAAAGACAAAAGAAAAATGAGGAGGAACCCAATAGAGGGATGTTTTTGGAAGCCCTTGTCAACAAATTTCAATGGACTCTCACATGAGCATTTGAAAATTGCCCTGTTCTGACTTTTTTTCTAGTTCCCTGTCTAGAACTTGTAATGCTAATTACTCTTGCCTTTACTTCTCCTTCACATTTCCTGTTCACTAATCAAAGACTTTCTTTTTCCCCTACAGATAAGTGTTATGCTATCTGGGAGTCTTTTAGATAGACCCACTGAAGGGGTACTCCAGTTGTCTCACCCTGTGTCCCTGTTCAGCATGGAAGAAGCCAGAGTGGTCTGCATCCTGATTCCCTATTGGCAATTCGGGTAACCTCTTCAGAGAATGGTGTGATAAGAATAGGAGGTAGGAATCGACTAGGCAGTTAGGGTAAAAAGACCCCAAAGAAGAGTGGCCAGTTTCTTGACTAAAAGTCACAATGTCCTTGGGTCTCTTAGTAACATACTCCATTCTAAAGGCCAAAAATGTTGAAAATATTTGGGAGCTTTTATTTAATCCTTAAAAGATTTTAGGGTTACCTCTTCAGAGGGGGTAATGTTAGAGTAGCCAAAAGCCCCATATAAAAATAAATCAATCAAAGAAGAAAAAAAAGTATGCATACAATTTTATTTTAAAAATATGGACCACTTCACGAATTTGCATGTCCTCTTTATGCAGGGGCCACGCTGATCTTCTCTGTATCATTCCAATTTTCAGTCTGTGTACTGCTGAAGCGAGCACACATACAAATATTTTTGTATTTAAAGACAAGCTAAAATGAACCAGACAAGATGGCTTGCACCTTTAATGTCAGCCCTCAGGAGGCAGCGGCAGGAGGATCTCTGTGACTTGAAGACCAGCCTGGTCTACATAGTGAGTTCCAGGCCAGCCAGAGCTACATAGTGAGACTGAGACCCTATCTCAAAAAAACAGAGAATAAGCTAAAATGTTTATGATACAATGTTGAATAAAAAGGCAGCACATAAAACACGAGTTTTCTTGACCTTCTATATTTCTGCATAAGTAAAGAATTTTCATTTGGCTGGTGTTGTTTTCATGATTTAAAAAAAAATTTCAGTGAGACTGAATTCGTCTGTGGCTCCCTAATTCTAAGTGCAATAACCTTCAATAGAGTAATGAGCTAAGTCGTTTGTATCCATGTAACAATCAATAGGAGCATGCTTCCTGCAAATCAAAGCAAGAATGGGAAACATGTAAACAAGTGTATCCTGTCCCTCTGAGGTTACCTAACCTTTGAAATCAGCTTTTCAATGGCAAAGTATTGGAGAAATTAAATATATATATATATATTACATATTATACATACAATATTAGGAGATAAAGTGGAATAGAAGATGTCAAAAGTATTTACAAGTTTATTAATCAGCTTATATTCATGTATAATAAAAAAATTAAATTGTATTTTTTACTTATTTTTATTTTATGTGTATGAGTGTTCTGTCTGCATGTATGTAAGTGTACCCATGTCATACAACCCCCGTGCAAACCAGAAGCAGGTATCAGATCCCCTGGAACTAGGATTCTGGACAGTTGTTAGCCACCATGTGGGTGCTGAGAACCAAACCTGGGTCCTCTGCAAGAGTAGCCAGTGTCCTTAACTGCTGAGCCATAGCTCCAGCCCCTTAAATTGAATTTTTTAAAAGTACTTTGTTTTAGTTTGCCTTCAATTGCTATGACAAAACACTCTGGCCAATACCAACTTGGGGAGGAAAAGGTTTATTTAACTTATATCTCACAGGTCACAGTTCATTGATGAGGAAGCCCAAGGTAGGAACTCAAAGCAGGAACCTGGAGGCAGGAGCTGGAGCACAGGCCATGGAGGAATGCTGCTTACAGGCTTGATCCCCTGGCCCATGCTTAGCCTGCTTTCTTATATTATACAGATCAACCCACCTAGGGGTGGCACCACCCACAGTGGGCTGGGCCCTCGAACATCACTCAACAGTCAAGAAAATAGCTGATGGACATGACCACAGGCCAATCCAATGGAAACAATTCCTGATTGAGGCTTCCTCAACTCAGGGGTGTGTCAGCTGACAACTAAAGCTATTCAGCCACATACTTGTAACAATTGTCGATATAAGGATTAATTTGATCAATAGCAGAAGCACAACCATTTGTAATCAAAATTCACATTTCTCTTGAATGTGGCTATACCTTATTTCTAACAGCAGTAACAGATGTGAGAAAAATCTGCTCGTCAGGCTTTTCAGAGCTTAGCTATCTGCTCAGTGCTGGGAATCCGTGTCCAGACTTTCTAGATATATTAATAAAGAATATTCATTCATTTCAATAAATCTTTATCAAGTATCTGTATGTCAGATGTTATATGAGAATGAAACAACCAGAATGACAATTTTAAAATATTTCCCTGGTCCCACCTTGGACTTAGCACTGTGCTAAATTCAATGCAATAATGATTAAGAAGGAATGTGGAAACACAACCATCACATTACACAATCAGCACTTAAAGAACTTCAAAATTAGAAGAAAAATTATAGCAACAAGTCGTTTTTTCCCCCAGCTACTTTTTAAGTGAAATGATGGTCCTATTATATAATATTTGTGTTTTTTTTCATGGCCTTACTTGGGAAAATAAAATATTTGCAAGCATACATGAGTTTCCCAACTTTATTATAAAATTTTAAAAGAATGTGAAATCTAAATGTTTAGTAACCATTGTCCTAGAAATCATGAAGAAGAAAGTGTACATTTAATTCCATAGGCAACTGGACTGGTCATTGAGTGATGTAAGGAAAAGACTGGAGAAATATAAAAATGTAAGGTTAGAGTCTTGGTATCTTCTAAATAGATTTTAGCACTGATGATTTAGTATGCTGTGAAGAAATCATAATGACAATATAAAAATGGGAAAGTATGCATGGAGAAATCCAACACTGAAAATCTAGGACACAAATACCATGAGCAGGATATGAGTTGAAATGGTCCCAACATCCACCCAGCCCAGTATCAATGAAGGCAGTCTGTATGCACAAAATGGAGACAATCTAATCAATATATTATTCTGTTGAACTCAACTCTTTCTCACATAATCTAAGGAAAAGTGTCAATATGTTACCTCTAATTTTTTCACCAAGCTATATTGTTGTTTATTTAACATTTTTGTAAACAGGATTAGCAGTGTCCCAATTCTGATGTAGAATAATAACAATGACCCAAAATAATTTGTCACTGCTCTGTATTTCTCAGAGTCCACAGTAAGAGAAATGCAAAGACAACTCTTTTTTGTGTGAATGTGCCATGTCTTAATAGTTCATGAAGTAAGTCGGAAGTGCAGCAGAGCCTTCTACCAGGGCTCCATGCGGAGGCAATCCCAGCTGCAGATGTCTCAGACTGCCTAACATCAAACAGTTGCTAAATACCAGTACATGTTAAACTTTTTTATCTATCTTCTAAACTACCTATTTTAGTACTGATTTCCTTCTTATATCTTTTCTTCTTCTGAAAAGCTACTGTTTTCTTGTTTTCTTTTTTTTTTTTTCTTTGCACAAGACTCATCTGTGTGATCTTTTTTCTTTGAAGTGGGTAGTGATTGAACTTTGTATATGCTAGGCCTGTATCCCAGTCCTTAGTTTTTCGCTTATGTAGGCTTTGGTACTGAGCTTCCTGTGTGCTGGGTGAGTGTTCTAGCCCTGAGCTGCAGCCAGCCTTTTTCTATTTTTTATTTTGAGACTGGGCCTTGCTAAGTTACCCAGGCTAGTCTTGAACTCACTCGGTAGCCTAGGTGGACCTTGAAGTCTCAATTCTGCCTCAGCCTCCTGAGTAGCTAGGATTACAACCTGCACCACGAGGCTGGGCATTATTCTCCCTCCCTCCCTCCCTCCCTCTCTCCTTCCCTTCCTTCCTTCTTTCCTTCCTTTCTGATGTTTTTTGTTGTTTTTAATTTGGTTTTTGTTGTTGTTGCTAGAAATGAACAAACCCAGGACCTCTTGTGTGCTAGACAAGCAAACCACCAGAGCTAAACCCACAGCCCCTCCAGTCTCCTAGTTTTCTGAGACAGGATCTCGCTATACAACTCAGGCTATCCTTGAACTCCCTATGTAGCCCCAACTGGCCTCAAACTCTCAGTCTTTCTGCCTTTGCTTCCTGAGTGCCAGAATTGCAGGCAAGCACTACCAAACTGTTTATAATTACCTTTTGAACAATTCCTTTTTTGTTATTATTTATTATTATTTTCATGTGCTTGTGTGCCTTCGTGAGTTTATGTGCATCATGTGTGTTCAGGATCCTAAAGAGCAGAAGGGGGCATCAGATCTCCTAGACCTGGAGTTACAGAGCTGAACCTGGGTTATCTCCATGAACAACAAGTGCTCTAACCGCTGACCCATCTCTCCAACTCCTGAACACAAAAACCAGACTTCTGGATAGCCAAAGAACTGTCTGACTCCATTTTTTTTTTTTTTTTTTTTTTTTTTTTTTTTTTTTTTGTCTTTTTGAGACAGGGTTTCTCTGTAGCCTCAGCAGGACTGGAACTCACTATATAGACCAGACTGGCCTGGAACTCATAGAGTTCCACCTGCCTCTGCCTCCTGAGTGCTGGGATTAAAGGCACGCACCATCACGGCCGGCTCTGACTCCATATTTAATCATCAAAGAAACTACAGGATGCTGAACATGTGGTTTCTTGAGTTAACCTGAGTAGACACTACTGGCCTCTGCTCTCTGGAATCAAGCCTTGTCCCCAGCAGCTATTCATAGCCTCGACAATATTAGAATCACCTGTGCAGCTTTGTAAACACATGGAGGCCTAGCTCAAGGCCTGTTCAATTAAAGTCACAACAAATTCATAAAATGCTGAATAAGTGTAGTATTAGAATACTTGACATGTAATTCTTTTTTCCATTTTATAATATTAGCACAGAAATTATTCAGAATTCACAACTACAAGGCACAAGTTGACAAACAGCAACAATGTTTGTCCACCCACCTGAGCAACCATGGCAGCTGCCTCCCTATGGCCCTTCTCTAAAAACTGTAATGGTGTCCAAGTTTGCAGGGCCCTTACTTTCTCTCCTGCCCATCCTGCATACCCAAGTCCAACACACATTACCCAGCTTATTTCAACTGCCATCTGTTCAGGTAACCATCTCACAGCCCAGAATCTCGGATTAACATTGCATTCAGAATTCCCATAATCTCTTTTATGACACTTTGTATTCCACTTTGTATAGGAAGGGCTTGCTTCCAGTAGAGGATAAGTTCCTCATAACCGAGGTCCTTGACATTTCCTCTTTAAAATAACCACAGAATTTAGCACAGTGCCTAACACATAGAAGAAGCTCCAACAATATTTTTTGGATGAATAAATCAATAGCTATTTCTAGCTGCTCTCTCAACCCTGCCTTGTTTCACCTGAATCAACAGCAGTGGAAATGTTGCCAGAGATCAAAGTCTCATAGGGATAATCTAAATCACAGGTTCAGGGGACGGTGTTCCCCTGAAAATTTGTAGATATTTTACTTTAAAAGTTACTGATGGACTGGGTGTGGAGGTATGTGCCTTTAATCTCAGCACTCCAGAGACAGAAGCAGGTGTATCTCTGTGAATTCCAGGCCAACCTGGTCTACATAGTGAGTTCCAGAATAGCCAGGGTACACAGTGTGACCCTGTCTCAAAAAAACAAAACAAAACAAAAAATGTTACTGCTAACCCACATCTCTAAACTTTGATTTATAGTCTCTCCCGACAGCAGTGTTTTG